TGCCACAACTGGGCCGGTCGACGGCTGTGTCCACGCGGCAGGGACTGCGGGGAGGGGAAAGGGAAGCAAAGCTGCACCTGCCCATTGTGGCCCCGGGGCACCCTGCTAGGCTGGGGCACAGGATGGGGGCCAAGGTGACCGCCTGCCCCCGTGACACCGGCGGTCTAGGGTCCCAGTCTCGCATCACTGAATGTCAGCAGGGCGGACCCCCCCGGGGGCCATACCTGCCCTGCCCTTGGGGTTACACCGTCAGCCCTGAGGCTGGAGTGGGAATGACTGGAAGGGAGGCGTGCAGGCTCACAGCAAGGATTCTGGACTCGCGTGCAACACCACTGGGTTTCCGGAACAGCTCCTGCTTCCTGCCTGCACGGCCTCAGTTTCCTCAGCTGGAAAATGGGCTCATTGCCATCCCGACCTCAGCAGGCAGCGAGCACAAGTGTGAGCTTCCAAGACGGGAGGTGGTCAGGCGGGGGGTCCAGTTCTGCACACCCAGCGCCAACACGCAGGCTGAGGCCAGGGGGCGACGTCCGTGGGTCCCCTGGCCGTGCGCTCTAGCAGCTCAGCCACCTGCCATGGTCCTGTCACGTCCCACCCACCCACCCAGCTCCTCCATGTGGCAACCCACCCCCCCTTAGGCCCCTAGTGGTCCACGATTCCACCCATCTGCACCAGGGATCAATATGGCAACAGAGGCAAGATGACGGGCAACTTACCCAGGGCCGTCAGTGGGTTGGGACACCCATGGGACTACACTGGATGAGTCTTTAGCCTGAATGCATCTTCTTCTGGCCCCGACCCCAGAACATCCTCCCTCCCCTCCTCCTCCCCCCTCCTCCTTCCCCTCCTCCCCATCCTCATCTTCTTCCCTCATCAACACCAGCCAGTCCCTGACACCCCCGCCCCGGGGCAGGTGCGGTGCTCAGCTGTCACCCTCTGACCTCGCCGAGTCTCCTGCAGCCCCTCGTACAGATGAACAAACCGAGGCTCTGCCAAAGAAGTGGCTCACGGCGGCCACTCAGCCAGGCCTTGGTCCCTTCTGGCTGCTGTCTAGGGACGCTGAGGCTTTCTGCCCCCTGCACTCCACACCCTCATCCACCACCCACCAAGCTCGGACCGCACAGGGCCCTGACCCAGCCCAGACGCTAGATTCTCATCTTGCCTCCTTGTGAACAGATGGTGAGGTGGGCATTACTCTCATCCCCATTTACGGAGCTGGAAACTGAGGCTCAAGGGGCCAAGGTCCTTGCCAAGCTCACCCAGTAAAGAAGCCATGGAGTTCTGGTCGACCCAGAGCCTGCCCAACTCCCACACCGCTGTGCTGTGTGCACAGCATCAGCACAGGAAGCCACAGACATGACAATCTGTGGTCAGCGTGGAGTCCTGTGCTGTCTCTTCTCATCCCCAAGCCTGGCCAAGGGGCTGGGCCTGAAACCTCCACCCTCAGACTGAAACCTCTGCCCTCAGACTGGCCTCCCCCAGGCCCCGCCCGGCAGCAGTAACTGCACACCTGCTGGGCGCCAGGCCACAGCAGGAACAAGACCACCAGGAGGAGCCACGACCAGGAGGACGCCAGAGATGCACGGGGAGGTGGGAGACAGCCCTGTCTGCTTGTCTGTCTGTCTCCCTTTGTCCTCGCAGCAGCTGGGAAGCAGAGACGAGTGTCCCCACGAGGCAGAGGAAGACTCGGGTTCAGGGAGGACGTGACGGGCAGCCAGGGTCCAGTGGGATCTGAAGACTCCAAGCAGAGCAGGTGCACCGCCGGACAGGGAGGCCCTGGGCCCGGAAGGAAGGAGCTGTGCAACTGCGGGCGAATGCTTCACCCCAGGAATACGGGGGCTTCCTCCAGCTCGGGGCTCCCACACAGAGCCCACACCGGGGAGGGGCCGTGGGAGCCAGGACAGGCTCAGGGACCCCCCAGCCACGTGTGCTGACTCCTGGGACCCCGAGGGCAAGAGCAGGTGTTGTGAGTCCTGTATTCAGAACCGTGCCCCACAGTGGATCTGTGGGGAGCTGGGGGGCCTCCCTGGGGACCCTGAGGGTCGGTGGCACCTCGGCCACTGGCATTCCCTCACTTTGTCACACAGCAAACCTGAGGGTAACCGGGATTATGTCCACTGTACAGAGGAGGCTCAGACCCACGCCGGTCAGCTGGGAAGGCATCGGCGCAGCCAGGATTAGAACCCACACCTGTGCAATTCCTCCCAGCTCCACACCCCTCCAGCCCCTTCCCCAATCCCCCGGGGAGGGAGAAGAGAGAAGCAGAGCAAAAAAAACACTTCAGCCTCACACTGACACCAAGCTGGAAACTTTACAGACAGCACTGAAAATACCAGGAACAACAGCAAAAACAGACACACGGGACCTCAACCAAACTGCACAACATTGAGAAGGGACCCATAGCCACAATATGTAAAGAGCTCGCACAACTCAACAAGAAAAAGGCGAACGCAACTTTGGAAAGTGAGCACAGGACGTAAAGAAGCACCGCCCCCCGCGCCCGTGATGGTACAGGAGGGTCCGCCGAGCCCAGGAGAGCCAGGGAACCATTGCCAGTCCACAGAGAAACGCCAGTCAGAACCACAGGGCACAAGGTGCACAGCCCAGGGCCGCCAAGGTGGCAACGGCACGTTCAGAGCGCACCTGTGCCGGCACGGCGTGGGGAAAGGGGGCGGCCACTCGGGCAGCAGCCACGGCAGCACCCCCCACCGCCTGCACTTCCACTCCTACAGGGCCGCAGTGGGAGCCACGCACCAGGACTGCTGTCGGGGCGCAGGGGGCAGCACCAGCCCAAGTCATGGCACCTGCTCGGGGCCGGGCTGCCTCCACTTCTGATCCCACCCCCTGCTGATGTGCCTGGGACGGCAACTGAGGATGGCCCAAGTGCCTGGGCCCCTGTACCCACGTGGGAGACCCATTTGGAGAGCAAACCGGCAGATGGAAGATGGCTTTCTCTCTCTGTGTCTCCCTCTCTCTGTCACACTATCTTTCAAATCAGTAAAAGAGAAAAAAGAAAAAAACTTCTTAAAAAAGAAAAATATACATCCACAGAAAAACTCTTCTCAGTATTATTGATAAAAGCCCCCAAACGGACACAATCAACACGAGTAAAACTTTCAAATGGGGGGAGGAGTTAACCGCCGCCTGCAGTGCCGGCATCCCTGTGGGCTCCAATTCATGTCCTGTCTGCTCCCCTTCCCATCCAGCTCCCTGCCAATGGCCTAGGAAAGCAGTGGAAGATGCCCCAAGTGCCTGGGCCCCTGCACCCATGTGGGAGACCTGGAAGAAGCTCCTGGCTCCGGCTATTGTGGCCATCTGGGGAGTGAACCAGTGGATGGCAGCTCCCTCTCTCTCTCTCCTTCCCTCTCTCTCTCTCTTTCTGTCTCTCCCTCCCTCTCCCTAACTCTGACTTTCAAATAAACAAAGCTTTGTTTAACGATGTGGACTACCAGGCCACGGAATAGTATTCAACAATGAAAAGCAGCGAGGAGCTGGCATGAAACTTGAGGCTCGGTGAAATAAGCCAGTCGCACGAGAGCACATCTGATTCTCTCGATGAAAAATACCCACCAAGGCAAATCTCTAGGGCCGGGGAGTAACAAGGCTATTGCCAGGGACAGGTGGGGAGGGGCAGGGGGGCGCAGTGATGAGTGACAGGTGTTGGGGGGCCTTCTGAGGGTGACGGACATATTCCGGAATTCCATCGTGGTGCCTGAATGTGCCCGTACTAAAAGCCATCGTAAAGCACCCTCTAAACACGTAGATTTCACGGTGTGAGAATCCTAATCTCAATAAAACGTTATGTTTTAAAAGGAAAAAAAAATCTCTGGCAAACCCCAGAGCTGTGTGACTTCCCGATGAAGACGCCCCGGGGTCGAGCCTCAGTGTGCTCGTCTGCAAAGTGGGCTCAGGCACCACACCAGCGTGCACCAGTCACGGGTGCAGCCCCAGCAGGCGCTCGCCCCGCCGCAGGCACTGACCAGGGGCGCCCAGGGGTGGAGCACGCGGCCTCGAGGCCAAGGCCGGCCGGGCGTCCAGCCGCACTGGACAGAGGAGGTGGCTGATAGCTCCTGACATGATTTAGATGGATGGCTCGGGCCAGCCGGCAGGCTGGGAGCGGGCGGCCCGGGAAGAGGCCGTGGGGGAGCCCATTACCGTACACGTGTTAACAGCGCATCCTTTGTACCGACAGCCACGCGGGCGCGGGCCAGGGCCGCTCCCCGCATTGTCTGCGCGTGGTGATGGATGGGCCGCCGCCGCCGGCACTGCCGCCTGGGTACCGCGGGCCGAGGGCGACACCTCGCGGCCGCCGGCGGCACTGCGCCTGGGGCCGCGACAGCCCCCCGCTAGCCTGCGAGTCTGGGGGTACCACCTCTCTCTGCGCACAGCCGGGCCGGCGTCGTGGGCTCTCCCAAGACCCAGATGCCAGCTATCACCACCTCGATTCTCAGGGGGAAAGCACGCGTAAGCCAAAAACTGGGTGGCAAATTGGTTTTAGCACGGAGGTGCAAGAATTCACAGAAAAATGGAATTAAAAGATAATTCCAGTTCAGTGCCAGGCACCTTGAAATCCACGCACTTTCTTCATAACACATGTCTTCCTGTTACCCCACGGGCTGTCTGAAGACACCCTCGTGTGCGTGGATTTGACGACTTTTGCACCTGGGACAGGCTAAGTCTCTGCCTGGGACGCCTGCATTCCTAGTTGCTGTGCCCGGGGTCCCAGGCCTGGCTCTGCTTCCTGCCCCTGCACAGCCTGGGAAGCAGCGGTGCTGGCCCGAGCACTTGGCTCCCTGCTGCCCACGTGGGAGACGGGGACAGAGCTCCAGGCTCCAGGCTCTGGGCTGGCCCAGTCTTGACTGTGTGGGACATTCACGGAGTGACCGGCAGATTCTCTCTCTCCTGACCAACATGCTGCCCTTCAAATAAAATGAAAATAAATAAAAACAAATTTCAATTGAAAATATGTCTTCGGCACAGAAGTAAACTTATCTTTTCCTTACCTTTCTCTGCAGCCCCCTGGGACGTCGCAAAGACCTCGGGGGACACGCCCACCCTGTAAGGTCACGCCACTCGCTGTGGCTGCTTCGCTTTGCTGTTGTGAATCTGGGAGCCCTGCACCGGGCCTCTGTGCTCCTATAAACAAAGGAAGTGACATCCCGTCCCTGAGTGCGGGTGACGCACCCACAGCACCGTGTGCACACCAGTGAGGCGACAGGTGCAGAGAGCCACAGGAGAACCAGGGCCGGGCGTCCGGCACGCTGGGAGAGCCTGCTTCCAGTCCCGGCTCCCTGCTCATGTGCACCCCGGGGCGGCAGCAGTGACGGCTCAAGCACATGGGCCCCTGCCACCCTCATGGGAGACCTGGATGGAGCTGTGGGCTCCCGGCTTCAGCCTGGCCCAGTCATGGCTGTTAAGGCATTAGTGGAGTGAACCAACAGATGGGAGATTCTCTCTCTCTCTCTCTCTCCCCTTCCCTCCTTCATTCCCTCCCTCCCTCCCTCAAATAAAATGATGAATCTAAATAAATGATTCTTTGAACCCTACGTGCCAGGCTCAGGGAGGAAATGGCCCAGGAATACAGCAGTCTGGTAGATGCCAAGGTTGATGGGAATCCACAGACAGCGGCCCCCAGGCCTTGGCGCATGCTGGGTGCTGCACCTAGATTCTGCTCCCTGCCCTGAAGGCTCTGACCCCCATCTTCCCCAGCCACAGCCCCATTACCCACTTCCTCGGAGCTGCTGGTCTCTGCCTCCCACCAGACCCCTGCCTGACTCCTCTCGGCCCGGCTGGCACAGGGCAGATATTCCACGGTCCTGGGTCGAGCGAGGGCGTGGCCGCCTCAAGGCTTGGAGTGGGCTACTCTGTGGTCACGAGGCAGGGCCCCATGGAGAGAGCATCCACGCACGGCACGGGGGTCTAGGGACCTGTTCTGCTCCCTTGCTGTGGCCCCCACATCTAGAAGGCATCCCCGAGATCTGTTGAATGAATCCCAAATGCTGCCCCGGAGCTCTGTGGGGAAGACAGAGCCAAACACTTCCCAAAGTTTCCCGACTACAAAGTGTTCGTCATGATCGGAGGACGCGACGAGCGTGCCCACTGCACAGATGAGGAAGTGGAGGCACCGCGAAGTTCAGGCCTGAGCCCCGGGCACTGCCGCTGCGCACGCCCGGACCAGGCAGCTGGCTCTACGTGAGACACCCCCGGCCGTGCGCGCCACCGCCTGCCTATTCCGGCCAGTGAGTGACCGCGGCAACTCTGTCCTGAGCGCCAATGGACTCCGTTCAAGAAAACCGGACAAACAAAATCACCAACCACGCACAGCGTCCTTAGCGCTCCAATTCCAGCAACATCAGTACCACCCTCCTGGCCAAGACTGCGCAACCAGGAGCTCCCTCGGAGTCCTGCCACGCCCACAGAAACCGCCCAGTCTTATAAACAAACAGACTGAGATGGCGCGGCTGCTTGCCTGAGCCCCCCTGCACCTCCAGGGAGAGGTGGGCCCCAAGTAGCCAGCACCCCCGGAGACGCGGCGCTATATAAAATCCTCCTCCGATCCTCATAGCCCCCTTGTTGTAGAGGAGGCAGTCGAGACTCAGAGAGGGAGAGCGACTCGCACAAGGGCACACAGCAAGGCGGGAGAAGGGCGGGACCAGGAGGGGAGGCGGGATCGCCCCCACGCAGAGCAGGCTCCGTCCTGCGTCTGGAAGACACCTCTCCCCCTGCTCTTTCCAGAAAGCCTTGGCAAGGCGGATTCCCTTCCCGCTCCTCCCCTGCAGCCGGCCCCTTCCCCGGCCGCCTCCCTCCCCCCTCTCTCCCACTCTCCTGCACAAAGAGTTGCCAAGGAAACCGCACTGCCAACGACTTCCCTCTTTGTCTGGGGCCCTGGGAGGAACTGCCGAAGCCAAGTCGCTGCGCACTGACCCCTGCTGACCCCCACGGGGAGGCACAGCCCTGGGCCGCCCCTTCCAGGGCCCCTGGCTCCACCCCACCTATTTCAGCCAACAGCATCGGGGCGGCACGTCCCAGCTGCAAACCGCCAGGGCGCAGCCACTGAGGGGGTGCCGAGCAGGGGGCAGGTACCTGGGGAGTCGGGTGGTCATTTCCTGGAGTTGAAGGACGGACCCGGCAAGGATAGCGCCCACTCGGTGCTGGGCGTTGGGCTGGGCACCATGCACGGTGCCTGGTGGTGGTACTGGGAATGCACCTGCTGGGAGCTCGGGCCTTCGCTAGGGGACACCCGGGACAGCCCCTATCACCTGCTCCTTCAATGCCAAGAGGGCGAGGAGGAGGAAGCCCACCTGGAAGGCCCATGGCTTGGGGGCGTCAAGTCAGGGTTGGAAGCCAGGCCGCCGGCTGACACTCCAGAGTCTGCCCATTAGCCCATGTCCTGGAACAAGGGAGAGAGGACGCACTTGAGCCCCCTGCCCACCTGCAGCAGCCACGGAGCGAGAGAGATCAGGCCATCGTATCTCGCTGCAGCTTCTTACTGCGGCACACCCCAGGCCACGCTGACGGCTGCCGCCATCTCCCGCCGGGACCCAAAGCCCGGAAGTGGCTCTCATTGGCTAGGTCAGGTCATGTGTCCTGCCGCCCCACCAATCCCTGCAGGCTGAGGGCGGGCGTGCTCTGATTGGCTGAGACCTGGCGGAAGAGGCCATGGGAGTCAGGCTTCCGCATGGCGCTGGGCTGGGCGAAGTGCCGGGGCTTATTTCTCAAGAAAAACAGGATGCACAGGAGGCGAACGCCACAGGCGTGTACCTGGGGGCTTGGGACAAGATGAGGTGCGGGAAGTTCCTGCTGTGAAGCCGAGAGGAGCGCCTGGCGAAGCTCTGGTGTGGCTGTGGCTGTGGCGCTCCCCTGTGTGGGAGCCCTTAGTTTGCAGGGTGGGTGGGCGGCTCTCCCCCGGGGCACAGGGAGAAGGAGCCGTCTCGGGGTCCCTCGATACCAAGCTACATACACACCCACCCACCCCCACCCACCCACACCCCAGGCTGCAACATCTGGGGGCAGGTGTTAAGCCTAGAGGTTAAGACGCAGATTAAGAAGCGGGCATCCCCCATCACAGGACCTGAGTTTGGCTTCCGGCTCCGTTCCTGCCTCCAGCGTCCTGTTAGTGCAGACCTGGGAAGCCGCCGTGAGGGTGCGAGTCATGAGGGAGACGGACTGCGTGACTCTTGGCTGTTGCAGGCATTTGGAGAGTGAACCAGTGGATGGGAGAGCTCTCTCTCTCTCTCTCTCCCTCTCCCCCCATCCCTCTCCTCCCTCCCTCTCCCCCCCCTCCTTCTCTCCCTCTCAAGTAAATAAATCTTCGGTCTCTTCCCCCACTCATCTCTGGGAAGTCGGGAATGCGTGTCTATCTTGCCCTCGGCTGACTCCCCGGGGCCTGAGAACAGTGGGCAGTGGTGCCTCAGACACATTGGTTGAATTCCTGCCTTCCTACGTAAGAAGCCACAGTTTGGTCAGCGGCCTGGCCCAGCTACGCCTGGAATTTGCTTCAGAACATTGGAGCCAGCACACGCAGCTGTGAAATCTTAAAAATGAGCATGCAAGGACGTTGGGGTGGGGGTCAGCCCCAAAGTGGTACTTGCTGGAGCCTCCTTGCTTGCAGGGCGAGAGGGTTGGAGGGGCTGGGGGGAGGGGGAGTCTGAAGTCAGAAACCCTCAGTCCTCCTTCAGTGGCCTCGTGTCCCCTGGGGCCGCCGGGGAGGGGTAGAGGGGTAGGGGGTGCAGAAACCAGAAAGCCGGAAGCGGCCATCCTGGGGCCACTCTGCCTCCTGCCGCCCCTGCGGCTGCCTGTTCTCCAGGTCTGATCTGGTTGTTTTGTTTTGTTTTTTCCTTTCCTTGGCCTTGTCCTGGGTCAGTGCAGTCCTGATGTTGGATTTACTGTTCACAGCACTGACTGCACAGGATTGAGCCAAGAAAGGGGAGAAGTGGCTTTTTCTTTCTTCCTATCTCCTGGTTGACAACTAACTCAGTCTTAGTGCTGATGGCTGAGCTCGGTGAACGTGAGAGGTGGCAAAGGCGGGGAGGCCATTTGTGCCTCTCTGGCTGGAAGGCCACTCTGGAAAGGAACTGAACAGAGAGCTATGAGCCAGAGGGTCCTGTACCTGCCCCCATCCGGGCCGGCCGGCCCTCCTAAGATGATAAAGACGTGGGGAGGAGGTGCTGGGAGCCTGGGCTTCAGTCGGCTCACTTTGGAGTGACGCTGTGGGGCCTCGGGTAAGTCACTGAACCTCGCTCTTCACGTAAGATGGAGCTGGTAGTAGCTACCCCAGAAGTGGACTGGAACCATGAATGAGAAACTTCACATCAAAGCTGTGTTGTCCTAGGAGCACATGTTGTCCTTGTCACTGTTGCCACCATTACCACTGTCGTCATCATCACCACATCGCCACCATCATCATCACCACCATCATCACCATTACCACTGTCATCACCATCATCTTCATCACCATCACCACCATCACTGTCCCCCCTTTATTATTTGTTCTGTCCTAATATAGAAGTGATCACTCCATTGAAAGAATTTGAGAAGCCAAGGAAGTTCTAATACTTATTTATTGAGATAAAATGCACATAAAATGTACCATCTTATTGACCATTTGGAAAGATTTATCTTATTTATGTATTTATTTAAAAGGCAAAGGCACAGAGAGAGAGAGAGAGGGGTAGAAACAGAGAGGTCTTCCATCTGCTGGTTCACTCCCCAGATGGCCACAATGGCCAGGGCGGGGCCAGGCTGAACCAGGAACTCGACCTGGGTCTCCCATGAGAGCAGCAGACACCCGAGTACTTGAGCCGTCACCTGCCGCCTTCCCAGGCTCGTTTGCAGGCAGCCGGACTGGAACCAGCACGCTGAGCCGCGATGCAAGCAGTGCCTTAACCCACTGCACCGCGACACGGCCCCGGCGTGAACCACTGTGAGGTTAGGAGCATGGGGCACACTCTGGGTTGTGCCACTATCGCCACCATCCCTGTGCACTCTCGGTGACTCGGGCAACATCTGTCCTATGTGACTGCTTCATTTCACTCTGTTCAGCGCGTCCGGGTCCATCCCCGCCAATGCTCCCGTCCTGTCTATCTGAACAGTACCGGAGGGTATGGCCATGCCCTTTGCCTAGCCCTTCCTCTGGGGGTGGACACGGGGTGGCTTCCACCTATGGGCTGTGGTGAACAAGGCCACTGTCGACTCTGCTAACCACTCTTCCCCACTCTCCAAAGCGAGGATTGAGCTGTACCCGCTTCCGCGTGCTCTCAGCAAGGATTTAGGCTCCTCTGTGTGGACCACACCGCAGTCAGGTCCCGGAAATACAGGATGAGGGAGAGGGGGACGGCCACATTCCTGCTGCCTTGGGGCTCACAGTCAGGTGAGGGCCAAGTCCGTGGACACCCAAGTGAGGGCAGAGTTACAAACTCATGGGTTCTGGGAGAGGGAGGGACCTGGCCAGAAAGGACCCTCCTGGAGGGACCTCCAGTTATGATCATTCCAGAAAGGAGAGCCAAGTCCACTCAGCGGCGGCGTGGAGTTGCTGCCATTCCTCTCTGAAGCGAGAACACGGCCGTTTGCAGCCGTGTGCTGGGCCCGGCTCATCAGAGCCCGGGTTAGATTTTCAGGGATCATGTGAGCTGCTTATGAAATGCTGCAGTCGCTAAAAATGAAATGGCATAAACGGGTCGTGAAATCACACCACGAATTATTCAAAGCTCATCCCTCTTAATGAAGCACACCCACTTCAGGCTTGCTTACGCTCTTGGAGTTATTGACAGCCAGCGCACCTGTGCGGTGGAAATACACACAAGAGGATCTGCATGTGTCTCCAAGTCCATGTTCAATGATTAACCAAGTGGGAATCCGTACCCCGGGCATGTTGACAAATGCTACAGATCACAGCCAGATTTTTGTCCTGTTGATTTCTAGATTAAATAAAACATGGCCCAGTGTGGGTCAGGCCTCCACTGGGACATTTGCATTCCATATGGGATGCCTGGTTCAAGTCCTGGATCCAGCTTCCTGTTAATGCACTTGGGAGGCAGCAGATGTCTCAAATGCTTGTGTTCCTGCCACACATGTGGGAGACTGTGGTGGATTCTGGGTTCCTGGTTTAGCCTGGCCCAGCTCCAGCTGTTGCAGGTATTTGAGGAGTGAACCAACAAATGGAAAATCAATCTCTCTCTTTCTCACTTTCTCTCTCTCTCTCTCTCTCTCTCTCACACACACACACACACACACACACACACACACATTTGGCTTTCAAATAAATAAATAAATATTGATGGAAAAAAGGTTAAAGCAAATTAAACTTTAAAAGATGATACAGGCTGGTGGTGTGGTGAAGTGGGTTAAGCAGCCTCCTGCAGTGCCAGCATCCAGTGTCCAAGTGCTGGCTCGAGTCCCAGCTGCTCCACATCCAATCCAGCTCCCTGCTAGTGCACCTGGGAACGCAGCAGAAGATGCATTCATGTGGGAGACCTGGACAGGGTTCCAAGCTCCTGGCTGGGGCTTGGCCCAGGCCAGGCCTTTCTGTCCATTTGGGGAGTGAACCAGCTTACAGAAGATTCTCTCATCTCATCTCACCTCACCTCACCTCACCTCATCTCATCTCATCTCATCTCATCTCATCTCTCCCTTTCTCTCTGTCACTCTGACTTTCAAATAAACAAATCTTTAAAAGAAATATGGGGGCTGGCACTATGGCATAATGGTTAAAGCCGCCACCTGCAGTGCCGGCATCCCAAATGGGCGCCAGTTCGAGTCCCAGCTGCTCCACTTCCGATCCAGCTCTCTGCTGTGGCCTGGGAAAGCAGTAGAAGATGGCCCAAGTCCTTAGGGCCCTGCACCCACGTGGGAGACCTGGAAGAAGCTCCTGGCTCCTGGCTTTGGATTGGCCCTGCTCCAGCTGTTGTGGCCAATTGGGGAGTGAACCAGTGGATGGTAGACCTCTCTCTCTGCCTCTCTGTAACTCTGACTTTCAAAGAAATAAATCTTTAAAAAAAAAGATAGAGGAAATATGATGTATCAGCAGCGATTATATATATTTTTGACAGGCAGAGTTAGACAGTGAGAGAGAGACAGACAGAAAGGTCTTCCTTTTCCGTTGGTTCACCCCCAAAATGGCCGCTGTGGCTGGCGCTGCGCCTATCCGAAGCCAGGAGCCAGATGCTTCTCCTGGTCTCCCATGGGGTGCAGGGCCCAAGCACTTGGGCCATCCTCCACTGCACTCCCTGGCCACAGCAGAGAGCTGGCCTGGAAGAGGAGCAACCGGGACAGAATCCAGCACCCCAACTTGGACTAGAACCTGGGGTGCTGGTGCCGCAGGTGGAGGATTAGCCAAGTGAGCCAGGGCACCAGCCCAGCCATTATATTTTGAGTAGCGAAAACAGCTGAGGACATATTCTTCCAGTATTTGCAAACCATTGTTCCATTCAGCCCGGAAGTTGTTCCCTTCCTTGATAAACAAGCGAAGCCCCCACATACAGCTCTGTTGCTTTTCTTTGTCTTCCTCATTAATGTAAACAGAAACATCAAGCAGCT